GCCGGGTGAGCCGTCCCCATGTGACGTTTCCCCTATAGAGGAGCCCTGCTAGGAAGTAGGTTGCAGCCAGGCAGAGCTGTCCTGGGACAGTCCCAGCAAGGGAGGGAGTGAATTGCTGACAAGTCCCTTCATCAGAAGTAGCTGATGTCACCACAGAACTGGGAAGTCCCGTCCCCGAGTCCCGGACTCCCCAGGAAGCAAAGTTAGGACTTTCCCAGGCAGCATGAGTTCATTGACTCATCTGCAAACAATTGTTCCCCCAGGGCTGAGATGCAGCCACCTCTGGGGTGGGGCAGCTGGGGAACAGCTGTACATAACGGTGCACACAGACGGCTCGCCCGGTGCTGAGATGCAGCCACCTCTGGGGCGAGCCAGGGGGTGGGCAGCAGCAGCACATGATGAGGGACAGCAATTTTGTAAAGGAAAACAGAGAATCCTGAACCCAGCTGGGATGGAGAAGACTTTCTCTGGTTAGGGATTGGCCAGGACACCTGGGTTCACTCTTTCCTGGCGGGAGCCCCGCTCCCTTGACCCCAGCAGGTGACTCTGGGATAGACCTGGGGGGACAATCATGGTGTGGGTGGGGGCGGGCAGGGTCGAGCAGGGCGGATTAGGTGGGAAAAGGGAACAAGGGGTTTGGGGGAGTGTTGGCATGAGATTAAACAGTGCCCTAGACGTGGCCCTGGGGCGGGGTGCAGGCATCCGGGGGTGGGGCGCTGAGCTGCAGCTGGGTCCATCTCCCCCCAGGTACCTGCTGGAGAATCACTGGTACCAGCAGTGGAAGGAGTACGTGGAATCGGGTGACCAGAACTCCAGCTCCTTCCCGGGACACATCAACAACTCAGAGCTCTTCGAAGGTACCCGACCACCAGGCTGGGAGCCAGGACGCCTGGGTTCTCTACCCCGCACTGGGAGGGGAGTGGGGTCTGGTGGTTAGAGCGGGGGGGCTGGGACCAGGATTCTCTCCCAGTTCTGGGAGGGGAGGGGAGTCTAGTTGGTTAGAGCTGGGAGGATGCGGGACCAGGACACCTGGGTCCTTACCCGACTCTGGGAGGGGAGTGGGGTCTAGTGGTGAGAGCAGAGGGGGCTGGGAGCCAGCACCTCTGGGTTCTCTCCCCGGCTCTGGGAGCGGAGTGGAGTCTAGTGGTTAGGGTAGGGTTCTCACCCGGCGCTGGCAGGGGAGCAAGGTTTGCTGTCCTGTAGCAGTGAGTTCCAGAGGTGAATTCTCTGGGGTATTTAGGGAACGTAGTGGTCTAGCAGCTTGCAATAGCGAGTTGGCGGTTGGCACCACCCCAGCCGCGGCTGGCTAACCTGTCCCCTGCCCCCCAAGACCTGGAGTCGTTCCGGCTGAAGGAGCGGCTGGTGGAGTCCGAGGAGTATGTGCTGGTGCCCGAGGACGTGTGGAACAAACTGGTGAGCTGGTACGGGCTGGAGCACGACCAGCCGCCCATCGAACGCAAGGTGAGGGGAGGGGGCATCCTCGGGCGCAGGTCACGGGGGGGCAGGCGTGGGCGGCCGGGTCGCGTGCCAGCCCCCGGGAGCGCGCGTGATCCTGGTCGGGATGCTTGGGGGCTGGCGCCAGGACACGGACAAGCCCGGAGGTCCGAGCCCATGAGCCCCCCCAAACTCCCAGGCTCAGTGTCCATAGGGTACCATGATCCTCTCTGCCCAGCCCCCCCTCTGGCTGCCAGGGTGTGGAAGGTGCCGGGGCAGGATGACGCCCCCTTGGCTGGCTCACAGCCCCCGTCTCTCGCTGGCAGGTGGTGGAGCTGCCCAGCACACAGAAGGTGGAGGTGTACCCGGTGGAGCTGTATCTCTGCCAGCACAACGACATGGACAGCCCCGTCACCGCCCAGTTCAGCCGTGTGGACACCATCGGTAACCCAGGCGTCTGGGGGTGGGGGGCTGAGCCGCTGCGGGTGTTTCAACTCCCTCCCCCCATCATCCGAGCCCTGCAATGGGGAGTCCCGTGGGTTAACATTCCCCTCCCCACAGACGCGGTGCTCCAGGAAGCCCGGCGCCAGTTTGAGGTGCCCCCTGAGGACGAGACCCGGGTCTGGGTGAAGAACTCAGACGGATCCTGCGAGCGGCTCCGGAACATCCACATGACAGTGCTGGACGCCTGCCTCAGCACGGGGCAGGTAGGAGCTGGGGGCACCGTGGGGCGGGGGGCTGGGCAGAGGGTGCTCTCCCCTGGCGGTCAGGGGGGCGCTGTGCTGGGGGAGCGGGCAGGTGGGTTTAACTAACTCAGCGGCCCCTCGTCTACCCCAGGTGGTGATAATGGAGACGCGAAACAAGGACGGAACCTGGCCCAGCTCTCGACCCCACGTCATGTGAGTGCCCCTTTCTCACGGGGAGGGGCGGCATGGTGCCAGGATAACCCTGGTGCCCCACCCCAGAGGTGGTCGCATCTCAGGCCTGGCTGAGCCGTCCTCATGCGGTGTTCTGTGTGGCTGTTTCCCAGCTGCCCCGCCCCAGAGGTGGTCGCATCTCTGAGCTGTCTCTGTGCAGTGTTGTGTGTGGCTGTTCCCCAGCTGCCCCGCCTCATTTCCTGTGCCCTCTGCTCCCCAGGAGGAACTCCGTGGAGGACGAGGAGCTGTACAGGGGGCAGCCGGGGGTCTGCGGCCTGACGAACCTGGGCAACACCTGCTTCATGAACTCCGCCTTCCAGGTAGCTTCTGCACCCGGGCTCAGGGAATCCCCCTTGGGGTCGACCCCTGCGGGGCTCATGACACAGTGTTGCAGTCCCACTTCCCTCCAGGAGAGGGCGGCAGCCCCATGTGCGTGCTGCAGCGCCCTCTGCTGGATCGAGCCAGTCGGCTCCTTACAGGGAGGGGTGGGGCGTGGGCGTGCCCTGTGCTGAAAGGTACTGCTCGGTTCTGGCTCTGGGAGGGGAATGGGGTCCGGTGGTTAGAGCAGGGTGGAGCCGGGTTCTGTGTGGGGTGCAGAGCTTTGGGGTTCCCCCCTTGCTGACCCTCATGCCCCCCCCGTGCAGTGTCTCAGCAATGTGCCCCCCCTCACGGAGTATTTCCTCAACAACCACTACCTGGGGGAGCTCAACTTCAGCAACCCGCTGGGCATGAAGGGTGAGATCGCCGAGGCCTACGCCGACCTGGTGAAGCAGGCCTGGTCCGGCCACCACCGCGCCATCGTGCCGCGCATGTTCAAGGTACCGGCCCCCCCCTCCCGGCTCCCCCCCCGCCCCCCCCCCCCCCCCCTCCGCTCTCCGATCTGGACAACGCCGCCCCGTCATGCTGCGCATGCTCACGGCCCCTGGCCCCTGCTCCATTCCCCTCCTCTGCCAGCATCCCCCCGCTTCCCCTTGTCCTGGGGAGGGGGCTGGCCCCGGGGAGCAGGGTGGACCCCCCCAGGCCTGACCCCCGCTCTCCCCCAGACCAAGGTGGGGCACTTTGCCTCACAGTTCCTGGGCTACCAGCAGCACGACGCGCAGGAGTTGCTGTCCTTCCTGCTGGATGGGCTGCACGAGGACCTCAACCGCGTCAAGCGCAAGGAATACGTGGAGCTGCGGGACGCAGCCGGCCGGCCCGACGAGGTGAGGGGCCGGGAGGTGCTGTGGGGCAGGGAGCTGGGCAGTGGGCTCAGCCGCGGGCGGGAGGCGTTCCAGTCGGCTGGTACCGGCTGCCCCTCCCCAGAGGCGGCTGCCCCACGCCCCAGCCTGCCGTCCCTTCGCCCTGCAGGAGGTAGCGGAGGAGGCCTGGCGGAACCACAAGCGCCGGAACGACTCCATCATCGTGGATATCTTCCACGGCCTCTTCAAATCCACCCTGGTGTGCCCGGCCTGCGGCAAGGTGTCTGTCACCTTCGACCCCTTCTGCTACCTCAGCGTGCCCCTGCCCGTCAGCCAGGAGCGCGCCATGGAGCTGTTCTTCGTCTACATGGACCCCAGCCGCAAGCCCCAGCAGGTGGGAGCGGGGGAGCCGGGGGCCAGGACTCCTGGGTTCTGTGCTGGGAGGGGAGTGGGGTCTAATGGTTAGAGCAGCGGGGCTGGGA